TCCATCATCTGATTTGTGTACGGTGATCGTCCAAACAAGGTTGAAACGTGAAGAAAATATTGCATTACGAACAGGCACAGGAACCGCAAAGCATGGCACTCATCCAATGGTCTCTCAAGCAAACGATTATATCATGTTGGTTCGGTAGTTCGATGCCTTTGGAATGCGGCAAAAAAATTCGATATCGCATAAGTTTTATCGAAAAGTTATCTGAATATTCACTTTATTCCAAAGAATGGACGAAATCGGTCGCCGGTTCTTCCTGTCGTGTCAGTCTAATAATTGTGGCCCTTAAGAGCAGTAGTTTATTTTGCAGGATTAAAGTTTTCAATTTGCAGTGCATTTTCATTGTGGGTAGTGTAAAGGTGAAGTGACCTTTTTAAAGATTAATGAAGTGAAAAAAATAGTGCCCGAGCCTACAAAAACCTGGTAAGAATAGAGGAAGTAAGGAATTAAGTTCAAATTAAATAACACGTAATTCCTTACATGAAAAAATCGTAATTATTCTAGTTCCTGCAATGGCAATTTTTGAGATAAAGTTTCAAATATCTCAAAAACGGTCAGAGCTACGTATAGGGTATGAAACACGAAGTATATTGGAGTAGAATTTGAAAAAGTAATAATATACAGTGTGTTCCATTTAAAATGAGCAAGTTCATGCCTGCTTGCGGCCTAACCGGAAGTTAATTTTTTCAAAATATTAGATCGCTTGTCTCTACTTACTTCAAACACCTGAGGAACAAAAATTGACTTAATATAAGACAATATTTATTAAATAAAAGTAAAATTAAACATCTCAAAAATGGAAAATTTCAATTGGCTAATAAAACTAATAAATTATATTTAAAACAAAGGATCATATTTTCATACACAATTAAATGCGATTGATTTTGAGGAAACAAATTTATCCACTGATGATTTAATGAAGATTGGACTCTGTGGCAGTCAAGGTTGTTGAAACCGGATGTGTTTCTAAAATGAGAACAAATATTAGTCTTAATTGTAGAAATCGGGTCCCTAGAACCAAATAAATTACTTTATTTGTATTCCGTTAGCAATACTTATGCAAAAGATGATCCAGGAGAAATTGCGAAAAGTTTTCTATATTTATATAATAAAGTGTAAAGTGAAATAATACGTGGAAGAGGCCCACGCATTCTACGTCCGAAAATAACCCTAGTTTGCTATATAAACGATAGCCAAAAAATGCATCGCTACGGATTTACAGGGTGTTGAAACTAATTTGAAAAATACAAAATGATAAATTTCTTCAAAACGCATGAAGATACTTTAACGAAATTTTCCAAAGATCAATGCCTGGAAAGACGCATGTTTTGTATTAAAATAATTTTGTTAATTTTTGCAAGTGGCGTGCGTACGTACCTGCATGCTTCCGAATTTTTTAAAGAAAAAAATGGTATGCAACTGTTAATTATTACAAAACAATATATATATTACGTGTTATCCAATTCGAGGTTGGGAAAGTAAACTTGTTAATTGATATCTACGAGTTAATGAGATAAGCGTCCGGTGGTGTTAATGTCCCGTATTTTTTTGAAAATGATCAAGGAAGCACCATAAGAGTCAATTCTGAGCGCTATGGACGCATGTTAACAGATTATTTTTGGAGTTAAATTGAGTGATGTCAATTGGCCCGCAAGATCCTGCGACTTAACACCGTTAGATTTCTTTTTGTGGGGCCATGCGAAAGATAGTGTTTACGGCAACAGTCTTCAAACTCTTGAGCAACTGAAAGCTCCAACTGAATATTTTGTGTTTTTTTTTGCTTTACTTTCCCAAGCATAAAATGGACAACCCTGTACATTGCATTTCTTTGCTATGACAAGCCGTTAGGATAAGTGGATAAAACAATGCCCCTGCACGGCATATTAATAATTGCAAACATTTTCTCGTCCTCTTTGTTTTTTATTAGAAAATATTACAATTTCTAATGTAACCAGGTAAAAACTTTGTGACTTAAAAATTAGATTATCGAATATTTTCAAATTGTTGTAACATTGTAATTTACTGTTAGATATAATTTGTTTAACATTAAATGCCAGGAAGTTTTTTTCTTTGGTGGAAATTAAAAATGTGTGCAAATATTAGATCTCAAAAATATTTCGAACTATTTGTCACAATTTAAACATGGTATTTTTAAACGCAAGCACAAACATGACACTGTGTTTAAAAATATTTCAGCGTTAAATTTTCTGTGATTAAATGAGCAACATGCGTTTAAGAGGTTTTGTAGTATTTATGTACTAATAATTACCTAAAACGCTCTTGATTTTAAACGTTGATTTCTTCGCAAATAACTGACATTTTACTAGATATTGACGTGTCTTGCATAATTTCTTCTAAAGGACGAGTCTGTCCGTTGATTGATGGCTGCATACTCGTGGGGATCTGGCCAAGGTTCATACTCTGACAACTCTGTCAAGAAATCAAGTATGTTAATACATGTTACTGGCATCAATCGGACTAAGTACAAAATGAGCACAACCTTCCAAAATTAGCACCTATGTTAAATTATTTAAGGAAAAAAATGTTTTAAACCCAGAGGCATTTGAACGCTTACTGCACATTCGAAACAATTAATTGGCATTAATTAGCTGAGCGGCCTTGAAGTTTAAGATCGCGTACAAATATTTTTGAAAGATTGTAACTTTTTGTATTTCATTGCTTTTTGTAGTCTACAATGTTCCACAAAAAAAAATATTTTCACCATTTTAACTTTTAAGAATTGTCATGAATACTGCTTATTTAGGCAAATATGTATGCACAAAGCTACGTTTAGGGGTATCGGTCTATCAACATTGTGTCCAAGATAACGAGAGTCAACATTCAGACATGCGAAACAATAAGAAACACATGGTTGTAAATATGAAACATTCCAAGTTAAAGTGATAATGCCAAGAACACTAGCAAAATATCTACAGTTTTATGGCTTGCTTTATGATTTTTCTTAATTATTTTTTATGGCGTGAATATCACTTATATATGAGAAATGCCCACAAACTTCATTTTCTTCTTTTTCAGTTTTCTTTGACCAACTTCATTATGTCATGCATATCCTTTCAGTTTTATAATTCTTATTGTGAAGTTCTATTGACGAAACATTTTGCAATCGAGTTTATTATCTCACGTTTGTTTAAATGTTTAACGTCATTTTTATTTATTTTATTTTATTCGAAATTAATTTATTTGATTTTTGTTTTATGTTCACTTAATCATGCATCATTGTCAAATTTGGAAAAATTACACCGACTTCCATTTTAAATACACTCTATAATATAATAATTGACCGGAAAGTAGTGAAAGAAAGAACCGAGAGATCGGAGAACATAGAGAGATCATAGAGAGAGATAGACATAGAGTACGAGAGATCGTAGAGACAGCAATAAAAAAAACCGGTCGTTGATTCATAGGCACAAATAGTATCATTTTACAGTGAATTTCTAAACAGCATTTAATATTCCATGGTGCTTTTTTAAATATTATTATTTTTTTTTAAATACGTAAATGTTTCCGAAGTTTGTAGATTATTTTCCTGGTTTTGTAATTCAATTTGTTAATCCCGATTTAACCAATTACTTTTTCTATCATTTTGCAAACTAAATAGTTGTCTTGTTTTACATAGACACATTGTAGTAGATACAAATGTAAAACATATCTAAAGAAAATTTTAGACACAATCTACAAACACTGTATATTATATGGTAACGCCATTATACCACCATTAGTCATAGTAAAAAATACGTTTTCTTTTGTGAAACAGGCATCTATACGAAAGACATTCTAAAGTTCTACAATCTAATATTGTATTATCAGTTTACTAGATCTCTAAATCGATTTATATCTCTAATTCTCGTTAATAACTAATGTCGTATAGTCCTGATTTCGAAAGACTGTTCATTTCTGGAAATGGGCACTGAATTAGTAATCACACACAAAAATCGACTACGCTTCACCTATGGTAATTATTGACTATCAATCTAGCAAATTACTGGCCAATTCACTTTGAAAGATCAAATCAGCGTTAGTAAAGAACACTTTTGTTATAACATCGATGCTATAGTAGACATTCTTGGCTTTATGCAAATTTCAAAACATGTTTATTTTGTCATTCATGATATCATGAAACATTTTTACCGATTTTTCAATTTGCTTTACATCGTGCCTTTAGGAGTTAGCCAAATAAAGTCATTTGTAGTAACCTATGTAACGTTACTAGATAAATTAGATATAAAGCAAAAAATCTCCACTTTACAACAAAATTAACGTTTTTTGTCAGGAGGCGTTCCCACTTACTGCGACATTGGGAGAACACAGAATGCATCGCCGCCAGAATGAATTTTCTCGCCTTTCGAGTGTTTTGTCCCAAACAAAGAATTCGTGAACAAAATGCGTGAAATGGTGCATAATATGGTCAACATTCGGCTGTTGCACGTTTGCCATATATACAGATTCGTAAAACAATGATTCAAACGCACATAAGTATTAATAGTAGCAAGAAGAAAATTTATTTAAGAATAGGCATCTTGAAGCAATTCAGTTTCGATATATAACGCGATCAACTACTGGTGGTCAGCACGACGTAATCTGCTCGGTTACGATACGTACCAGCGAATGGTTATCATTTTGAACATTTTTAAGGTACATTAAGTAAAGTCTCTTTGTAACTGTCACTTTGTAACACTTTTGTGTAATATTTGGAAAAAATGCCTTCTGTTGGCAAACGTGCAACTACGTCACATTTCAATGTAAGTGAAAATTAAATTTTTAAAGCAAGATGTTTGTGCCAGAAACCAAAATGACATAACATTTAATAATCGCAACACTTACCTTATTTAGAGAATTTAATTGCCCAACTTTCAAGTGGACTTTTTGTGCGCAATGCGTTTGAAGTAAGGCTATTCCTGAAACAAGTTACTGAGTCAATATTTTCATTTCTATATCCTGCAAATAGGATGTTCGTTTTCAAATTAACTAATAAAATTGTACCATCTTTACAGCCTGCCACTTTTTTAAATTTATAAATCGCCGATCGCCGGCCACGATTGTTACCCCCAAACAGGTCGGAATTTATGAATGGCTAGCTTGGTCTATATATTAATGTCCTTGATTACAATTAACTAGATAAGAGCAAGTTTCTTACCATCCTCTCTTCTAGACGCGTATTTGGATTCCCAAGCATCAAACAGTCGATTGTAGTATCTAGGCTCCATAAAATCTAAATATTTATGAGTATGAGCGGTGGGAAATATTCTTTCAAATTTCCCTTTTACTACGTACTCATCTTCCGCTCTCAGTAAATGCCGGATGTCATCACCTAAAATAAAATTTAACAAAAACTTTTAAATTTGTTAAGACTATGGAATTGCAGTAATTTAACATTAATAAAATATAGAAAACGATCTTAGTATGCGTACCTGTTAGATCCTTTAAAATATCATACACGTAATCATTTCTGTCTTCAAACTGTACAAAATTAGCGTGTTTGATTCGCTCCTTCTTAGTAAGCGTCCTCGTGTATATCCGATTATCAAAACACTCGGGGGCGTTCTTCACGTTTTGTGATAATCGGGAGGGAAAATGAAATTGCGCTATATCGAATAGAGTTTGTACTAACGGACCCTTCACGTGGGCGTCCAGAGGTGATGCGCTATGCAAACTGGGTGAAATATTTACCTAAAAATTAAAATTTGTTTAACAAAGGTAGATTATTGACCCACAATAGTAAATAAACACATATTTGGAATAATGAAAACAAAATATTTTTTTACCTCTAGCAGCCATGGCTTCAGATGCTCATCTAATAAAACATCAATACCAAACAACTCGTAACAATTATAGTAACTATTCATATTTTCTTCACATAGAGGAGTGATTAAGGCTTCAGATGAGATTATTGTCTTGATTACCAATTGTTGAAGATGCTTCCAGAGAGTTTTGGTGTCCACGCCTTCATCATGCATATATTCCAGAAGTTTTGTAAGAGTCCTGAAACGGTGATATGTTAACAATTTTTTAAGAACGAATTTAGAATTAACGGCCAATTGTGCATTTACCATTTGTGACCCTGGCACGCATTCGCATCCTCATTAGCGGTGTACTGACTGGAAAGTTTATTAATACTATAATTCGTAAGGTGCATGTACCTATCCTTTAAGTCTTTCACATCATCACTGTATTTGGCTGAAAATAATGTGATTTTAATTCAATCAAGTCCAAAAATGAATAATAAAAAAAAACAATTTTTTTAAGTCAGGCTTAAAAACAAATATATTAAGTATGAGGAATTGGAAAGACTTCAAACTTAAAACCAATATTCTGCTTTAAAAGGCGGAATGTTTCTGTCACAAGCAAAGCTGGTTGGTCTTCAAATGCCAATTGCGCATAGGTTTTCCATGCCCTGGATAAATCTACATGCATAAGATGAATTTTCCATCGTGCCAGTAATTTTTTATGTTTCTACTAGTTTGCTTACTTTTATTTCATAAAAGCATGTATCGCATGTAAACGTTGAGCGTCTTAACATTAGACAGGTAACCAGTTTTTATTAATTTAGAACATTTTTAATAGTTTAAGTCAGGTATACTTGCGCTGGTGCGCTTGGACATTTGGATTTTTCTACAGAAAAATTAAAACTTGACGTCATTACTCTCAAGATGTTGTCCAGAAGTATTTAAATATTTAAGTGCAACAAATTGTTCTCAGTGAGACTGAGATATTCACAAAAAACTAAAACACAAATTTGGCAAAAATGCATTTGATTCACTCCTGCTAATGACGTGATATTAATATTGCGAAAATACATGTTCTTTGGCCGTAAATCAACAAAAGTATCAGGATAAACTATACGGCAAATACATAAAGATAATTTTTTCAATAAAACTATAAATTTGCCAGCCTTATAAATTGCGAATAATTGATTACATATTTCAAAATTTAGTTTTTTATTTTGAGTTTCAGTCAAAACAATGATATAAATACCTATATTGTACCTTATTACATGAGACTTTCCCACGTCTATACAGATTTTATCTAAGAACTACAGTCACTTTCCTCTGATGGCACAGTTTTACGTTAAAAGAAGTTTTCGGGAAAACCGGTGCAAAGTTGACTGCACTGTAGATTTATAGTGCTTCTTAAACTATTACATGATGCAGAGAATAGGTAAATACGGATTTAGAAACTCGATTTTTGCAATTACCACTTGTTTTAGCAATAAATAGTTAAACCGGAAACTAAATAGCAACTTTCTTATTCGTCCATAGTGAACATAAATGGTTACTTAAAGTTTTAAATACTTACAACTTGCAAATCTTGCTAATCCATCAGGGTACAAATAGATTCTCAGAGGATGGAAACTGGTAACTAATACATACAGTCGTAAGTCAAACTTGCTCCCATTGATGAGGTAGGGATTATTTATATATTTTTGACATACTAGGGACGTTTTCTTAGGTAAGTGGCACCATTTGTTGATCACCTTAATGCCCACACCTCGTGCTGATGCAGGCTGAAAATAATGATTACTACTAATTGTTAATTGTTACATTAAATTACAGGTCGTACAGGTTTAATAATCCACATGTCCTTTCCCCCATTCGGCCCAGAAAAGTCCCAATTCTGTTTTAAAAGCTTCAGCTCTTGAGGTAGTACGTAGGTATGAGGTAGAAACCCGAATCTAGATATGAAATATTAGTAAATTTTGAACACATATTTATACTATCACTCACTCTTTAAGACTATATTTTGAAATCATTTTTTGAAAATTTCGCCATAACCTATCCTTTCTTCCTAACTGGAATGTGCCGGGAAAATGATTCAATTTTTGAGTCTCTTTCAATGTTTTAAACATTGGAGACTTCATGTGTTTCCCCCAAGTGCCCAGCCATTGATTTGATTCTACAATAAAATTATAAGTAATTATACTTGCCAGATTAGCATTGGTGAAAACCAATTGGGAGTGAGAAGGATATAGGAAGTAGGGAATCAGGGGACACACCTCTACTGAACTCACTTCTAACCAAGGCAAATCCAGAATTCGACAAAGTCTTTCGAACGATAATTGGAGTGATGGTGCTAAGTTTCCACTTGAAAAATTTTCTCCCGCACGGCAATTTGTACGCAGTCTCCAAATCATGTGGTCGAAACTTCACGTAAGGTGGCACGTATGGAAATAAACTGGAACGAACTGGCCAAGTTGCACCTTCAGAACCTACATAAACGTCCAACTTGTAAAGGCTAGATACACTCTTCATAAAATAATTATATAAAATATATATGTTTATTCAATGTTTTGCTGATCAATCATATATGCGATTAAATTGATTAAGCTTGCATATTTGAAGCCCTTTGCAAATTACTGCACACATCAGAACTTTTTTTACAAGTTCCTAACAATCATGTCGTTTGAGTCCTCCGAATTTGTAGTTTTTTCTTTTCTTGCCTTAAAGAACACCTCGAATTAAGTAAGCACTTTCAGCGAAAAAATTTCCTGAATGGAATTTGAAGTATTCTTTATGGTAAGAAAAGAAAAAACTACAAATTCGGAGGGACTCAAACTGGGAGTACTGATTCATTAAAGCACTTGAAAAACAAACAACTTTGTGCAATCCTCCGTGCCAATTGCGAAATGTAAATGAAATAATGTCAAGATGAAACTGTTTTGTAATAGTAAACAGGGTAATGGGGTATTAACACACAAACTGGGACATTCCACATACTTTTTCTAAAATCGGACAACAGTCATAAATCATACATGTTTATACGAAACGAAAAATATGCATTAATTTTGATTTATACATAAAAAATTTAAAAAATTAAACAAAAGAAAGCACATGTAAGGACCAGCAATGTTTTATGGTCATTGAGGGTTTCAAGGTGCGCGATGTCTTTTATTCATAACTCACCTTTATAAATTAGTTTGCAAGCTCTTTTTATAAATACAATATAAGATATTTACTACTACCTTCTCCTAAACAACAGCATGGTATAACGCAACATTGCACAACATCGATTAAAAAATGCATTAAACTTTCAGAAATGATAAAATATACTGAAACCTAAATTATGAATAATATCATGCATTCGGGCCGACGAGCCAAGTACGCGACATTAACTATTAACTTCGTCCATATTACTCATTATTTTGCTCAGACGGTGCCATCGAATAACTGGCAATATCATCCCATTGATATATCCTTGGAAAAAATGCCAATGAATCGCGCTCAAGATCAGAAAATTATTGAAACACAGAAATAACTTTAAATTGGTCATTGGAACAGTCATTAACAAGGAAGTTAATTATGTTATCAACACACTTAACAGTAAAAATTGTAATTTTTTAAATGGTGTCGCAGGAATTTTCGCCCATAAAGCAAAATATATCGTGCGATTAACGGATAATCCAGTTAACGGAAATGAAGGACGTGATGGACAATTTTGAAGACTACTATCAAAGCCCTCAATCACGAACTCTTACTTAAACCGAACTTCTTCAGTATTATTACTCATATCATCATCGCAATCATGAGGGTAATAATTTAATACACTTCAGGAGTTTCGTTGCCCACCACCTTTCCAGAATAACGAAATACTATGCAATGAATAGTAGCCGAAAATAATAAGTATTGCTTTAATAAGATGTAAGATTAGAATTAGCGATAGCATGGAAATATGAGTTTTTAGCTAAAGCTGACATTATAAATTATTTTTGTAAATTTCCGGTGTAAATTTATCATCTCCAAAGTATAATTTAGAGAAAGACATAATTTAGTTGTACATATGCCAAGAACGCTAAATTGGACAGTACAGTACTTGATTTATTGCAGACTCGTAATTATAAAGAATTGAAAAATTAACGCTTATAATTTTAAGTTCTGGGATTCAGTACTTAATGCTTTTACAAAATAAAAGATTGTAGTAAATAAAGACACTTCATATGCAATTAAAGAAATTCATAAAACTTGTGAATAATTTAAGAAAATATTTTTTTTCCTTTCATTATCAACAGATAAAGTACAAATTTTATCCAACAGTCCATTTCTCCATATTTCAACATTAAACGGATATCTGAGGAGAAGAATGAATTTACATCTTAAATATTCCAATTTTATTTGCAAGCCATTATAGTGAATAAACTTTACATTTCGTTTAAGGCTTACTACAAAGAAATAATTAATTGTGTTTAAATATTGATAAATAAGTTTTAACAAATTACATATAAAAATGCACAGATATATTTCAATATATTAATGACTTCATCTGAAAAATGGTGAAATTTTATTTTTGCTTCAAAAATTCAATATGTGTTTTAAAAGTTAGGTTTACCTGATTGTGCACCTCCAGTCGACGAAATTCCTCCTGAGTATTTAGAACTTTCATCAGTCGAAGACACAGGATCACTACTTGATACACTCTCAGCATCTTCATCCAGAGTATCATCTTCAACGGCATCACTTTCCGACCCACTACTATAACAAATATAATAATAATAAGAATAATAATAGTTTTAATTTATTTCGAAAAAGCTATCGACCAACTCGGGTTTCCTGCTCTTGCATTTACCTATGTTTATTATGCTAGGTTATAAATCTACCAATCCACGCTTATTCTAATTTAATCTATTATCTTACACTTATTTTCCTGTTTAGTTCGGTTGTGTTCGTAAGTATTCTAGTAGAGTCGTTGCTGAGAAAATAAAGCGGGATTGTCTGCTATGCCTTGTAAGACAAAAAGGTTCCGTAATCGTCCAGTTGTGGGGACAAAAATATATTTTGATAACAATATTAAAATATTGTTATTTACGTGCTATTTTAATATCTATTGATTAATATAATTTAAAATTATTATTATGCTGTGGACATTTTTGATGAATGTGTATTATAAAAGAGGTTGTTTCAAATACGATTATGGATAATCTTGAACAGAAATGTTAAGAAAATAAATTGTTAAAATTGTAAAAATCACAATGAAATGATTTTTAAATAAATAAAATAAAGTTTTTACGGTTTAAGTTTTAGTTGTGGTTAATATTTAAAAAAAATATTTCGCTCGTAATAAAGCTTGAGCACTTTTTTCATATGCAATTTGATGATATTTTTCCATTTCGATGTAATAAGAAAAAACATGACAAAAATTACAGCTCTAAATCAATAAAACAAACTTTCAAAGCACGACCCTAAATAGGTGATTACGATCTCGGGTGTTACTTAAACAATAATATACTTTAATAACATACACTATTAAAGTTTTATTCATTCATCTTCTTCGGGTCCGATTCTCATAAATATTTCAATGATTTTTAATATAATCGCATCATGTTGTCATATTCACCGCAATTTGTTTATGATTGGCATGTCTCCGGTATTCAGGCCAAACTAATAAAGTAAATAACAAAAGATTGGTTGGAATAATCACTTTTTCAGAATTCAATGAACAATTTCTCATTACTGTAACCTTAATCAAATCAAATTAGCAAATTTAAGTTAATTGATAATAAAAAATGTAAGTGGAATTTAAACTGTAGTAATTATTACCTACAGTCAGGCTCTCTATATGTGTTAAAATCGATGATATCCAACTTCATAATTGCCAAACACTATATTCAAAAACTGCACATGTTCTAGATCACTAATCACTAGCTAGTCTGCAAACTTCGATAAATTATAAATGTATGACAAATATTCACACACACCAAAAAAAAGCAAATATTTAAAATACTTTGAATGAATGAACTCTGATCAATTTCAAGAGGCAGAAAAATCCACTCGTTATCTATACGCAATAGGATCCTAAAATACCTCATTTTTCCAAACAACGCTTTTATATTAAGCCTGAAAACGCTAAACCTGTATCTAAAAATACGCTGAAGTAAATGACTGCTGGAAGGCAGGATTGTTGCAAATTTGAAAACCAGCAGTTAATGTTTACAAATTGCACATCTTAGTGTATGAAATGTACACAATTTCAGATCATTTCCACCATTTATATATCAGTTTTACACATTGAGGATATGCGTATACTGGGAAGAAATTGTAATTATTATTTGAATCGTAACAATTGAAGAAGTTTTTGCCAAAAAGATTGACCAGTGCCAAATGTATAGGATATTTGCTCTGAGTTTTCAGAGCAATCGCAATATATTTTCTTGAGCTCTAATAGTACACACAATTTCTATCAAATTAAGTCCATTTTTATTGCACCAAAAGGTTGCATTTTTTTACTCTCGTGGTGATACAAAAAACAATAAAACATCGCATTAACTTTCGTAAAGTAATTAAAAAAACGCTTATTTTTACATTGAACCCCTTGTATATTCACACAGATTTTAAGTCAATTTAATTCTACCCAATAACTTTTAGTACCTTTTCGTTCTAAATTGGCAAGTCAGACAAAAATTGTCCTCACCGTCAATATTTTTAAAAAGTTTATCGCCAATTTCGAAAAATTAACAAAACTTAAAAAAAGAAAAGAAAAAAATTAATATTGTAAATGAATACACCGAAATTAATGTTGTGGCATATTTTAAAGCTGTTCTCAAAAAATATGTCCTAGAGAAGGAAAAGCCCCTTCCTTCATTTACAATTTAAAGAACATTAGAAATTCAAGCATGTTCTGTCCAAATGTAAACAAGTTCAGCAACTTCATTAAAGGCACTCCGAAAGACGGCTGGAATGTTGTCGATATAAATATCCCAAATGCCGAACGATATATTTGGTGGAGTGAGGAGTCAAAGTTTTCCAATCAAGACATGTTTTTTGACCAAGTTAATTTAACAGAAAATTATCAGCAATCCAGCTTATAATGTTGTACAAATTTTACCGTTAATTTAATACGTCGATATTTATATTTATCATTCAGAACATTTTCTAATACCACGTAAAGAACGAGAAATTGACGCAACCGTCCTATATTGGTTACGAAAGAAAGAAATGAGATAATTAAAATGAATCCTCAACATTTAATTATAGCAATACTTGAACGATTGAAGTTTACGCGTATTCACTGGTAAAAGTGGAATATTTTCGAAATGATTCAAGATCGCGAGACATTAAAAATAGACCAAATAATACGTCCCCAAGGTGGGATTCCCGTTTTGGTGAGTGGCAACAAGAATAACTTTCAAGTGATGATGAATAATAAAACAACACTTTTACGCTGTTTTTGCTATTATTGGAGCGGTTATACTGGTTAAGTCCGACCACCTATACATCCAGAAACAGATCAATAACGCCTAAATATGTGTAGACGTCTATGTACACAGTTACATTTTATTTTCACTAACCCTTTGTTTATTTGCTAAATATCTTTCTTAAAAATACTGGTTATTATACGGCTATATTTTAATGTACTTAGTTACTTTTAAATATAGTTTCATAGATATTAATCAGCAATAGAACACAAGCACAAACACTAATGGTGAAAGAAAGAGACAAAATTTATAAACAAGATAATTTTATTAATTCCCCGGATTAAATTGAAATTTTATTTTACAAAGTGATCAAAATGTGCGCCGTTTACGTTTCTTTCCAATGAATTTAGAAGTATATTCGGAAGAATACCGAGAACTTCTTGCCTTATTCTATCTTGCAATTTTTAGATTAATCGTTTTATTCCAGCTATCTTCGTTCAGGAAATAATTCACCGTTTCCATACATAAAAGCGACCCTGTATATACAATAAACAAAACTTATTTTGCTGCAAATACGTCTACGGTCACTGCCCCACTTTAATATACATATAAAAAATATGTACTTGTTCCACGCATTTATGATTGAGTAATCAACTATTTTCTTACCTTAAATGGTTCTCACTCAAAGGGTTCCCACTTTTACTTTTGGCTTTCTTAAGTCGCAAAGGCGCAGATTTCCTAGTTTTTAGGGAAACTTTTGATTTCGTATTCCTCACTATCTGAACAGGTGACGACTTCTTTCCTACTTTTGGTTTAATTTCGATGGTAGTGGTTGATAAACTATCCCCTTTGGCAGCATCTAAATTGATTATATTTAGAGCTTGGCGCTGATGATTTGTATATGAAGAGTTTTGTAGAATTTTCAGCTTTTCCCTCAAAAGCTCAACCTCTTTGGAGTATCGCTCTTTATCTATTGCTCGATTAAAATAAGTATCGGTGTCATAACACAATGGTTTATGGCCATTTATATCGTGCCCTTTGAGATCTACTAGCTGACAATATTCTCTGCAATTGGAAGTATTTAATCGGGAAGCGACACAGTTGTTTGCGTTCTCTAGATCTTGATTGTCGCTACCTAATCGCAGTTTTGGTGCATGGAAGCCATTTGATTTTAAATAGGAACCAGAAGAAAACTCCTGCTTATGGGACCGAGCCTTTGCTACATTTTTACTAGGTTCTAGGAGTTTATTTCGCGATTCCATTGTAAATAAACTTTCAGCGGGTTGTTTCGATTGAAAAGAATCTGATGCAGAACAGTAATCATATGGCTTGAAGGACTTTAAACAGTCTACATCATTTTTGGTTGATACTGTCATACTTGATGGCATTTGACAATTGTTGGTGATATATGAGGTTGGAAGCTCTACTAAGTTTGATCTGAAATTAATTAAAACATTCTTCAAATAACAAAAACGCAAAATACTCTAAAATACTAAGATCCCATATTTAGTGTGACACCGTACAAGCAGGAAAATTAATTTTCTAAATATTTTCCAGACACTTAAGTCTTTAAATGTATGTATTTATCCACATTTTGCAAGTAAAGTAACAAATATTCAGGGGGTCTTCAACTTTTGTTGTATTGTATGATTTTAGTTAATAATTTAGTTTAATTTATTTTCAATGTAACAATTGTTGCATTTAAAAAGCATGTTGAGGGCGGTTTCAAAGACTCCTTGAGATATATTTTTCATCTTGCTTGCAAAACGTGAAAAAATGTTACAATTATTAATTAAAATTTCGGATGTGATACCGGATGATGGTATATGTACCATCAACCGGTACCGGTAATGATGTCGGATCCAATAAATTTGTATTTAAATTTGTGTAGTAATCTCCATCTGATTTATCAGGTTAAAATGTAAAAGTTCAACAGATTTTAAAAATAAATTACACATTTTTTTGAAAACATAAGTAAATATAAATGTGCATGTTTTTTTTCTCAAAAGCAATAATTTGCAGATACGGCATTCTTTGTTAAGGCGTCAGTATTAGTGACTTAGTGAAAAAATAGCTTCTTTAGTGGCAAAAAATGGTAGGTAAATTGTATTAGGATTTTTTTACACTACTACAATTCAAACTATCTCCTTTACTATAAGTGATCTCATGATCAAGCTGATCAGGATTTAACCGAAATAATTATCTGAACTTATTCTCATCTAGTTTTAAACAGTCATTTATAAGATTGAAATCGCCTTCTTCTGGACAACTGTGGAATATAGTCTGCGCCTCATTTTTTTGTTCTGAAGTTGTTACTTAAGGAATTATTCTGGTTTTTCCTCTACAGGGTAAAAAGTTCGATGTCGTCCACCTTTTTAACAGTTCTTCTCAAAAGTAACTCACGAATTGATCTGTTGCGGCTAAAGATGCATGACCCAAAGCATTACAGAACGCTGCGTTTCATCATAAAGTCATTATAGTTGACGTAAAAAACCTTACCTTATTCTACAACAGTCATATTTAGCATCATGCCAATTCTTCGAATCATAATCTAATTCCATATTTTCGTACTCATGGCATTTATTGTACTTCTTAGGTGTGAGAGTCTTCATGTCTTTGCATTTCTTCTTGCAACAATCCAAACTCTCGCTTTTTGTTCGCCTTCTCGGTGAATTTTTTTCACATGTTGAACACCAGGAGGTATATGAGAACTTGCAGTACTTTTCTCTCGCTTCTGGACTTGTGTGGTACGGAAGGCTAATGTTGCAGTCTCCCATGTTAGGAACAGTATTATATCGCCTATCTGATTTGTAACAAACCTTTGCTATCTATATACCATACTTTCTCGCCAGCTACCTAAAAATAATTACATATTAGAAATAAATAGTTCAACAAACTGCTGATACTAATAATTGTTAGATGCTTATACCTAATGTTTTTAAAATTTTAGAGTTCGGGTGGATAGCTTTTTTTAAAAAAAAGAAGAATGGTGTATTGACGATTTATAAGCGCAACATTTCCCGAAAAGAGTATAGGAGTTAAGAGTAGAGGAAAAGAGTATAGGGTTCCTAAATCACCCGATTTAAACCCGATAGATTTTTTACCTTTTAGGTAGCCTTAATACTTTAGAACACCGCAAGGCCGTGAATAATGATATATGACCAACCGAACGAGTTATTAACAGTTGCGCGGAATAAAAAAAATGAGGGAACACCTTTAGAGAATTAATATTCTCCTTTCTCGAAAGTTAATACTTCTTATAAAGAATTAATATATGCATAGAAGAGAGACACAGTTTTGATCACTACTGCTATAAGGAGTTTTTAATCCAGCCACAATCACGCAATAAAACATTTATTTACAATCTGTTTGGGTAAAATAAAATCGTCTAATAAAAAAACAAAGCATATAATGAATTACGTAATTGCAAAACTTAATAAAGATGCAAGCAAAGAAATTGTCATTAAGAAAATTGACTCTGTGAGGGTGCTTCAGGAAAACATTTAAAAAGGTGAATGCTTTTAAACCATCTGCTTACTTATGCTGATCGAGAATAATTGTACAAGTTATGGTATTTTAATTCCTTGCATTTTATATTAGATCAAGAACGGCCTAGAGAAAGTTGATCCAACGTTGAAAGTGAATAAAGATCATCAGTTTCTGCCCTTTTTGTGTTTTTCTTTTGGGCAAATGTTTTAGTTTTTCTGAGCATGTTAGGAGAGATAATAGGCAGGAATATAACGATTGATACATTATCATGTCAACTTTTTCCCTCTACAAAATGGCAAAGAGAACATGTAGTAGGTACATGTTTTCATATATAACTACTACGAGAAACATGATGTTTTAAGTAAATTAAAAGCATAGGAATAAAGCAGACGAAGCATTAAGGACTAAGCATTAACGAAAATAAACCACAATATAATGCAAAATACGTTAAATAAATAAAAATAATTAATAATAGTTAATACATAAAATAAATTGGGAATGGTTGCACCTGCTGCACTGCTATGTTTACATGGACAAACTGGGCGTTATGGCTTTCATTCGGGTAACAAAGGTATTTTCTACACGTTTAATAGATGTAAGCAAGTTTAAACATGTTCTATGGTACCTATATCGCAGATATGAACAGATTTTACAATTATTAGAACACTAAACATACATCAGAAAATGTGCCACATTAAAAGGTAACCTATAAAAATATAAGTGTATTTAAGGACAAGCTTTACAGTACACAAAAATCAGCATGTTTTATACAAACTGCGTTTCACATACTGTATTTCTTGTCGTTTCTAAAATGGTGATCAATATGAGAACACTGCTATTGTAAACTGATTAAAATGGGTTTAAAAGTGCCATAAGCCCATGAAAGATTGCCTAAATAAATTGAAAAATGTTATTCTTACTTGGTTATCCCAATTCAACGATCACAAGCCCTACATCGCTTCAGTAAAACTATTTGGCTATTTAAAAGTGAAGAAAGCAAATTGTGAACTTCCAACCATCTTTATATTTCTTGATTGGTCACATTTCATGTCAGGCAGGCCATTGATAACAGGGGGGGGTAGCTAGTTTCGAGTGTTGTCACCATAGGCGCACCTTATCTAGCATATTACCACTCCTAACAACGTATGTCGTGACTTATCAAAATCCTATTTAGTGATGGGGAGCAAGTAAATGAATGTTTTTCCCGCCGTTAAACGATTTGAAAATGGATACCGGCATTCTTAAAGAATTAATATTATGTTTTAAATTATTTTGCATCGAAATTTACACGACCGCTTAAGTTAATGTCCGTTTAAAATGGATTGAGTGTGCATTTATAAAATAATATTTTAAACATACCTACGCTCTCATATTATTGAAATGAAAAACTGGCTCTATTTTATATTGAGTACTTATATTTACTCTTGAGTTTTTAGAGTCTATAGATTAATAACTCACGCTAAAATCTGTCGATTATATTCTGTGACTGGAGTTAATACAAATTTGTTCGGACTAAAGAGAAGCCACAGGGGAAGTGTATGCAAATCGACTTTACCTATCAAGAAAAAAATGTTTAAACTCACTGAAGACACGAGAGACCGCATGCAGAGCAGAAGGGAAATTAAAGATAAACACACTACACAATAATAAGACATAGAAAATCAGACATTTAGGTGCAAGATTATGCTAAAATTTTATGTTTTTCGTCCCGTTTTTGTTCATTTCTTGCAAGCAAAATGAGCAAGAACGCTCATTTTTACATCATTCCAGAGAGAACTAAATGGTCTTTTTAGAAAGTGAACCATCGATAAGAAAATGTTTTAAATTTCTTCAAAAAAGTCTTAATTTGAAGAAGTTTTAGATTTACGTATTTTTTGTTTTGATTGAATTTTACTACTTTTATGGCAATCTGTCAACATACCTGAACAGTATCGATTATTTTTTATTGTGATTAATTTATTTACAATTTTATTTTAGATCTAAGATAAAAACAGTATTTATTTTAATGTTCAAATTGCAAGGTAAAAAGTGCAGTCTTATTTAAATTTTGGAAAAACGGATTCGCGAGTTCAACTACCGATGCACTGCAAAACGTCAAATTAATCGTTGTCGAGTGACAGTTGAGACTTGTCAGACTTGTTTATTTGTTGGAGTTGATCAAGGTTCCTAGGCAACCAGGTAATCCTGAGCGGGGATGAGACGTGAGCGGAAGGTGTGACGTCACGTGTTTGCCGTTTTCAATTTCAATACAGTGGATTATACCGTTACTACTTATTAAAATACGTTTATTTTTGTTAAAACAAGAAGAACGTTTCTGCTATTTGTGATAATGGTATTGTTTTTGTGTTGTTTCGATAAGTACTCAACCTAAGACAGAACAAATTAAACTTTTGAGGTAAGTTTTTTAAATAAATACCCGACAATCAATAAAGACGAGTGGACACCTTGATATCACAGTAGATATATTAATTATCATAAGTAAAATGTTTGTACCTAAACTGGATGTCCTTAACTGATTGTGAGTGTGCGGTTGGATGTGAAAGAATGTAAATTGATATGTATTCCAAAATACTTATTAAACAATTAAATTATAGAGAAACTACGACAACTAGTTGCATGTTTACCGGAGCGTTTAAAACATGAGAACAAACCCAAAGCTACGAGCACCAATCTCAAAAAATGTCAAATAATTCAACGTTAAAAGCTTCAATAATTTAAACCGACAAACTTGTGACATATTCCCGCGCGCTCTCCATTACGCGCAATCTGTATACTTTAGGAACCTTGGGAGTTGATGAGGTTTATAACATAAACCAATACAAACTTTTCGATCTGTTTCTATTTCTTTAAAAGCCTGCAAAAGTTGATATAACAAAACAAATCACAATCAAATGTAGACATCAATGTCAACAAAACAAGTTTCTAACTACTTAACGTGTGGTTACAATTTTAGCCAGCAGGGGACGCCTGAACTTTTCAACTCGCGAATCTTACCATCCGGCAGCGTTGTTTGGTCCCCACCCCGTTCAAAAGTTCTTCTATTGAACGGGTCACGCAGCGGCGCTGCAGGCATAATTTATTTCGGTGTTTCTACGGTATTGCATTGTGTTGCACATCTGTTGTGTATTTGTTATTTGTTCCTCCTTTATCTTGTGACCAAACTCTAGCGAAACAAACTATCATTAACTTGGATTTGTTTTGATTTGGTAAATCAAAGAACAGAAGGTGAGTATTTTAGATCCCTTGTTTCTATAATTGAATGATTGACCTAAGCCGAGGCGTTTCAAAATGGAGGTCTTCATTTCGATAAATAGTGTCTAGAGGTTTTTATTTTACAGTTGCTCAGTCACTCAAATCAAATACAATTGGTTGAATAATCTAAGCTCTAATCATTATTGTGGGCAATTAATAATATATAATTGAGTACCATAGAAGCCAAAAGTTAAAAGTTGTACACGTCGATGATGGGAATATTACCGACGTTTATTTTCAATTGATGCCGAATTTTATTTGTTTAATATCGTATCTAAAATTTCACCATTTGAACATAAAAACCAATACCTTAAAGTACCAGCAGTAACAGTAAACAGTAGATAGATTTTAACGTTTTTATTAGCATTAGCAGGTACAAGGTTAATGTCTGTAGTTACGCCAGTCGGTTCAATACATTAGTTAAACAAAAAAGTTAGAAATATCAGGCTTCGGTCTGCCCCTCCAAAAGTGTGCTCAGCTAATAGATAATATTTTTATTAACAACTTTTCTTGCTGTATTTTTGCAAAAATTAAGGTTTTGACCACTTTTCACTCATTGAAATTCACTACTTTTCTAGATAGGGATGGATCAAGATAAGGATGATGTCCGTGCTGTCTGTCGCCCGAAAAATTTCGTGCATTGCCAATTTTACATTTTATACTTGATTTAGAAAAAAAAGAACTATTTAGGATAGTTTCGATACATTTATTTACTTCTGGCTGGTTTTGTTTAGAATAGTTAAGTGCTTTTTTGTTTGTTTTATGTTAATTAAACTATCATCTATTTTCTGAGCCCATTTTTACGGGGCAGACCAAACCTGATGTGCATCGATTTCATGTAACATTGAGATCTTGAGAGTAACAAGAGAAAATATTGCTACCACTACATTATTTAAAAAAGACGGACACTAGGTATGAGAAGTTAGAACGGCACTTTGGCTACTTGCAGTACGTATTGCGTTTATTGAGCATACCTCAATAAACTGTATACAGCTTTTCAGTGTGCAGTGATGTGTACTGTATAATTGTGTGTAACTTGTTCCATCATCGTAAACCTGAACGTTTTATAGATGAAAAAGTGCACTTCTATTTTTAATATTCTTTATTCACCTGACATGAGTAAGAAATGTAATTATAATCGCTTGGAATTAATCCAACTTTAATTCTCAACTTAATTCAGGCATTAATTTAATTATTTAATAAAATAGCTACTTTTATTACAGTAAAGGGCGAGTAAAGTATCTAAACTTAAGAATACTAAAAGCGAAACAATACAATGAAGAAGAAGCGAATAAAAGCTCATGTTATTCTAAAATGCTATAGGCAGGCTTTACAACAACGATAAGAAACTTTTGATAATTTTATCAGCACTGACATTGATTACAGTTTTTCATTGCGCCCGTGTAAGTCATTAGTACAACATTTTTTACTGCGACTTTTACTATTGGCGTCTAGGGTCTGAATTATGATAACCTCGTAAGAATCTTTACATGTCATGTCCGCCATTTTAATGTGATCTGAGCATCTGATCTATATATCCTACTATCATTCAAGAAAGCTTTTTTTTTTTCAATATAGGTTGTTGCAATTTTATGGCTACATATTTTACCAATCCAATATATATGCGATTGTATTTTATCACTTTTTCAAAACATCACTTAATGAAGTGTTTACCTAATACTAGACAACTATATCTGTTATATTTGAACTGACGCCAATTTTGTGACAAAGACATACGAAACGGCATTATCCTTGTATAATAAAAATGTAGTAACACCACACGATCTAAAATGAACTTGATGTCTAACCATATAGATAGAAGTGATATTAGTTATAAGTATTGTTTTCCTTGAATTTACTTGTAGTGGTTGTATGCCGCATATTGACTTGGTAAGTTTGTTTTGTGGTGATTTCACAAGGGGAAAAGGAATATTAAGGAAAATAAATTTTATTTATTGTTCTAAACGCGAACTACAGTAATGTATGGATGTCCAAACCTCCTATCATTCGAATTTTACATGTCAATGTGTGAGCATGTGAACACTGATTTTTGTACTCTGAACTTTTTGGGGATGAGGCGAAGAAAATTTGATATCTCCGAGTAACTTATGGGAGGCATCGTGCCTCCCCTGATCTATTGGGAGTTAGTGAAGTACAAATTAAGTCTTGCTGATAATTCGATAGATAAAACAAGTTGAAATAATATAAGCAAGAGCCGATGGTGAAGCTAACGCTTCGTTAAGGGAATACAAGGTGTTTAAGTTTGGAGTAAAAATCGAATGTATTAGTTGTTGCCAAACGGCTGTGGACTGGCTGGCTGGCTACTATTAAATAATAGTAGGTACAATCATAGAGAAATTAAAATAAGAGAGGTGGCGGTATAATGTTAAAACTTAGAACCGCGTTGCGCTACAACCGGCTGACCGTCAATAACGGGAAGCTTTGACGGTAAAAACAGGTACCTAGATTATCGGCTAGTTAGAAGCGGGAATTTTAAATTTTTAAAGATACAAAATACTCCGGGTACCCAATTTCGGTGTCTACACATGTTCTCTCGGTTATTAATGGTAATAGAAAATGTGCTGTTTACTCAACAGGGTGCAAACAAATTCCTATTTCCA